TAAGCTCTCAACTTGCAATCTAGATCCAATAATTAGTTTAAAAAAAAGTTGGGCCAGTGAGCAATACTACAGTGATAAAATAGGTGATAAATTGGATATCCTCTAAGTATTTTAATGTCAACTCCATCAGCTCCAACCACACCTGATGGGAAGGGATTGTGAGACTTTCAGCCCAAGACATGTGGAGGACACCAGGCTGCCTATCAAGAAGCAGAGGATTAATTGCATGGGCATTGCAGTGACATGTGATTACATATAGCAATTTCAAGGGGCCTAAGGTTACCTAAGATAGAGGAGTCTGTTTTAGCCTTGATGGGCAATAAAAAAAATTACGTTTCCTAGTGAATTTTCTCATGGCTACAAAATTTAAATGATGGAATCCCAACACAATGGAAAGTTACAGGTGGCTGAAAGTTGCCTTAGAAGACTGATTCTCAATCATCCAGGTCATCATTGTTCCAAAGGTGCTTTCCCCCCATTTTTTTTCAAGGGGCAACTGAACTTTCTTTGTTTTTCCTTGAAGATGTTTCACTTCTTGGATGAGAAGCAAAACATCTTCAAGAAAAAACAAAGGAAGTCCAGTTGCTTCTTGAAAAAGCACCTTTGGGGCTGGCTTAGGAGGTGTCAATAGCGTATTTAACTACAGAGTAACTGTCTTCATCTTTAAGACAGCAGGAAAGACAATTTGACATAAAGACACGAGCAGAATAACAGTTGCAGTAATGTTTATAGAATAATTGTCATATCATCATCTCCTCTTTGTCCTAAGGCCCTCTTTCTATTGCACTGAACAGGCATACAACGCACAACAAAAAGGGGGAAAAAAACAGCTGACCTTTTTTATTATTTTCAAAAACAAAATGAAAACAGCTCTGTCAGATGAGTGAGGTTGGGCTTAGAAGGGNTAGCCCAAGGAAGCACTAATGTGAGGTTTGGAACTGTTGAATACACAGTAGAATTACAAGCTAAGGATGAACAGTGTTGTGTTTTGTCTGTGGCCAGGCTCATCAATTTGTATATTTTCCCTGTGGATTTAGGCCTGTTCATGTACCCTTAAAGTATAGCATGAAATTTCACAGGTGTAAATTTTCTTTATCTATATTTGAAGTGGTAGAAAACATCTCTCTTACTAACATGTAAGTTTGGGGAAAGAAATTGGCAATCTGACATTACTCCCATGGCTTTCAATCAGCTGTGGCAAACCTGTTTTAAGCCTGCAATACTGGTTTGAGTTGTGTGAATTTATGATTCCAAGACATCTGGAGGACCTCATATTGAGGGCATCTGGTTCAAAAAGTTGAACTAACATAGGAATTTCTACAGGACCTTTTTCCTAGACAAATTGAAGTGGCCATGTGATTAAATGACCTGACCAAACTCATTGATTTAATTGATTGAACCTGGGTAAGCATATGAATTAAACCTTTCCCCCCTTTGAACACAGTGTACTTTGTGTGTGTGTACACAGAGGAAATTATGTAGCTTATTATTGCAAGCGTTTCCTCTGTGGTGGTGAAGAGGAAGAAGTTGTTTGATAGGGATTTTTTATACAAATAATTAAGATTAAAACCAATCTTGTTACCAAAAATAATCGGGGCATTTAAAAAAATGATTAAAGTGCTGCACTGAAAGATACTAAATGGTTCGTTAGGGGCCTCCATACTTATGGGTTCAACACACAAACACCCAGGTGGAAGATATCATGTGTATCTAAACCCCAGACTTTTAATTGCTACTTTTACTGATTAGGCTAAAAAAGAGAACTAGTTAGTAGCTTCCCTTTCCCTCACCCAACAGCCCACCCGCTGCTTCTCCAATTATATTGTTCTCTTCACTTCCCCATTCTGGATGCATGTATAATTGTGGGGGAGAGCAGAAGTGGTTTAAAACCTGTAGACGTTAAGTAAACGTTGGAAAAACCCTTGTTCATTGTCCCTGTACAATTNTGAACAGTGCACACCTATTTTTCTTTTTTCAAATAGTGACCACTTAATTCTGATTAATCCTTAACCAGAAGCAGCATATAAGCATTTTATTTCTATATCATTCACACCAATGAAGCCACATTTGGAATACTGTATCCAGTTCTGGTGACCAAGATGCTGAGGCCATAGAAAAGGTGCAGAGAAGAGCAACAAAGGTGATAAGGGGCCTGGAGGCTAAAGGAACTCAATATGTTAGGTGTCCTTTTTCAACTGAACTTGGTTTTTCTTTGAAGATATTTCGCTTCTCATCCAACTGACAGCTATGATCTGGGTGACTGAGAATCTCCACAGACATTTAGATATGTTAAGCTTAACACAGTATTCCAATATTTGAAGGGCTTCTACAGGGAAGATATGCTTTCTCCGCAGCACCCGAGAGTAGGAGAAGCAGCAACAACGGGTAGAAGCTCATCAGAGGGAGATTGAACCTGGAAATAAGGAGGAATTTCCTGGCCATGAGAATTGTTAAGCAATGGGATAAGCTTGCCTCCTGGATTTGTGGCTGATCCATCACTGGAGCTTTTAAAGAAAATATTGGACTACAATTTGCACAAGATTGTTTGAGGACTCCTGCCTTGGGCAGTAGGTTGGACAAGAAGACCTCCAAGGTCACTACCAGCTCTGATGATTCTATAATACTTGGGTGTAAATAAGGTTATTAATATATCTTTCTTTTGGTTTCCTGCAAACATAGGAAAAAGTACCGTTTTTCCCAAAACAAGACATCCCCTGACAATAAGCCCAATCAGGCTTTTGAGTGCATGCGCTAAAATAAGCCCTCCCCAAAAATATTGCAACACAGCAGCAGCCATGAGGTGATCACACTCGCCTCCTCCTGCACCTCAAAAATAATAAGACCTCACCAAAAAATGAGGCCAAGCGTTTATCTCAGGGAAACATGGTAGTTGTTATTCCTGAGGCAACCCTATTTGCTTTCGTTCTCTATAACTCCATGATTTTTTAAATCTCAGACTGTTTCCCATCTGAGATAAAATTTATTCCATCACTATATTTAAGCACATCTTTCTGCCAAAATCGACAGCCACACAGCTAAAAGTATGAATAAAACCAAATAGATGATCCAGGCCTTTGGTATGTTAAGTGGGTTTGGCTGTTCAGTTGATTCATTTCATGTTCAATAAGAGATGTTCCAGCCATTCAGAAATGTTCTGTGGCCAACCATAACCAATTTTGAGCTCAAAATAGTGATTTAAACTTCAAATAGAGTTAGTAGGCAATAAAATATAAGGAGAATATATGTTGGATCTATTCACTGCCTTTAGTTATTTGTAAAAATAATAAGGGGAGGATATAAACAATACATTTTCAAAATGATCCCAACAATAGATTTCAAACTCTTTAAAAACTGTTGAGTTCAAAACATTATTTATTCATTAATTCAACAAAGGCCTGTCAAAATGAAGTTAGCAATATGGGGGGGCATCATGATTTGACTTAATATTGTTTTATTGGCTACAACCATTCCTTCCAACTGATTTGGGGAGTGGGGAGACACACAGAGTGTTTTATAAAAATCTATCATCAATTGTGACTACAGTTAGCTTTACAAGAGCAACCCTGCAGAAGGCATTTTATAATTATTTATATTATTGTAGTTGAGCAGCTTACAATCCAGTGAAGAGACTGAAGAAGCTTCTTGGATGAGAAATGAAAAATCTTCAAAGAAAAACTAGAAAGTCCAGCTGCCTTCTGAAAAAGCATATTTGGGACAACTATGACCTGGATGACTGAGAACCTCCACCAAGAGTGAGAGACACAGGTTAAAATTTATCAAGTTGTTGTTTTGATGAAATCTCACTTTTGTGCTTAAGGGATTCTGGGTGTCTGGTCTGTTTTTGAGAATTTAAGCTTCTAAAACAGGACTAAACCACTGGGAGCTGCATTTTTTAATGAGGGGTAAAAGGGGTGCAGCTAATGAAGCAATTATGTAAAAATGGGCGGGATGATTCTTCTCTCTCACCCACCCACTCCTTTCTGGAAAGTACAGAGATTTTATAGGTAATTGTCAACTTACAATGATTCATTTAACAACTGTATGCAGTTACCACAGCACATAAAATGATTTAGGGTAGGTTTTTGTAGGGTCCATGAGATCACTTGATGAAAAAAAATGGGTACTTGGCAACTAGCATTACTTTATGATGGGGTCATGGGACTGCCATCTACAACTTTTGTAGAAGGGATGAGCAAAGTCAATGGAGGAAGCGAGATTCACTTAACTACAATTCACTTAAAGGCCATAAATTCAGGTATGACTCACTTAATGACCATATCATTTAGTGATAGAAACCCTGTCCCAACTGTGATCATAAATTGAGGACTACCTGTACTTTAAAAAGCACCTTAAGCCTGTTTCAAGTCTTTCTACTGCAGTTTGTGTATATTTCTTGCCTCAAAGCAAAATGGAGGATTTCTATGCTGCCAATTTTCAGCATGATTACCGTGTTCCCCTGAAAATAAGACCTATCCTGAAAATAAGCCCTAGCTTGGTTTTTACATCTGCACCTAATATAAATCCTACCCCCAAAATAAGCTGTAGTTAAGACCCCGTCCAGACATGGGGCAGAAGAAGTCGGGCAGCGGCATGACAGAGGTTGGGGCATGAGAGGCTTGATTGCGGTGGTCCTAAGGTAAACTGGTAAGACTTCCCCTGTAAATAAGACCTTGTTTTGGTGCCCAAAAGAAAATAAGGCTGGGCCTTATTTTTGGGGAACAATGGTAGTAGTCAGTGATCAGGGACTCCTGGACCAGATGGGCTCTAAGATGGCAGGTGCTAAAAGCTCTACATGGCTTGTGCTGCAGATACCCGATATATCTAGTTACACATTGACACCACCTCTGGAAGCCATCTCTTGGCTGCCTGCCATCTTATGTGTGGCATTACACCATTACAAGTGGGTCTTTTCAAAAGGAAGCACGCCAGGCACAGAATATTTTTCTAAGGCAAATTTGGCCAACGCCCTTAGGTTATCAGTAAAAACCACTTCCTTAGGCTCTTAGTCTGAATCTTCAATGATAATGTTGTGTTTCTTTGGTTTCAAGAAGCATGCAACAACTCCACTCACCACTGGCTCTGAAGGCCAAGCCGACTGTTGCTGGAGCCTGGGGCCGTGCTGTCTGACTGGTGAACCCGCAGTCTCCAAGAGTTTTGCTATCCTCCAGCAACTGATCATCCTGGAAAATAGGGTAATTTGCACAAGGATGCAAGAAACGTCTCTTTAAAAAAAAGTCTGGTAATCATGAACCACTGTGTATAATTAAAATCAAGAAATTGGGCAGCGAGAATGCAAACTCTGTTTAGGATATGGTTTAACTGTCCTCTGCACATCAAATTGCCATAGAGTTGGGGGCAAAGGATAGAATACAGTTAGTCCTCGACTTACAATAGTTCATTTAGCGACCGTTCAAAATTACAGCAGCACTGAAAAAAATGACTTAGGACTATTCTTCGGTTGCGTCTTTTGCAGCATCTCCATGGTCACATGATCAAAATTCAGATGCTTGAAAACGAGTTCATGTTTATGACCGTTGCTTTGTCCCAAGGTCATATGACCACCTTTTGCGACCTTCTCACAAGTCAAGTCAATGGGGAAGCCAGATTCACTTAACAACCAGGTTACTAACTTAACAACTGCAGTGATTCACAACAATTGTGGTGAGAAAGGTCATAAAATGGGGCAATGCTCACTTAACAAATGCCTCATTTAATAACAGAAATTTTTGGGCTTAATTGTAGCCTTAAGTTGTGGAATACCTGTAGTAAGAAGTCTGTATTTTTTTCTTCTTCACTAAAACTGTTCTACTTGCAAACCAGTATGCACTGGAAACAATTTGTTACCTTCCTTACTTCTGATCTTACTAAAAAAATGAAGTATGAGGTTAGAGCTCTAATTCTAAGGATTCTTTAATCCCTAATTTTCTAGGGCACACAGAAAAATAGTTTCTTAGATGGGCAAAGGACTAAGTGGCTAGTGAACCAATTGCATTGGTATATCTGATACAATTCTGTGGGTTGTTAACTGCTTAATGTTTTACATAGCTATTATTTGATGGCTGGTTATTAATTTATTCCACTGAAGAGATACCTAGATGTCTACTGTATAGGATTTTAAAGCAATATATGAAGATCAGCATACTGAGAGTGCTACTTCCAACACTAAAGGTCAGGCCATAGATGTAATTTCCAAACACTCAATACCGAGATAAAGACCAGCAAAATCCAGAAGCCTAACAGCTCTCCTCTTCCCTTAAACAGTGGGGATTCCAAAAGACTATCAGAATCCGCTAATGATTTATTCCCTACAATTTGGCTGCAGACTAAGCAGTGGGGGAAAAAAGGCAGAGCTCCTGGAAATTCTAGTGTCTGAAAAATACAGCTGAGGCTGTGAGAGATTTCTGGGTGCTGGAAACTCAATATTTTATTTATTTACAGGACATACATGGCCACCTATCTCGTTTGGCAACAATCCATTAAAAAAAGCTAAAAACCAATTATTCTCTCAGCTCAACTACTATCCTAACTTAACGCAATGCTCACGGCAGTGCTTCACAACCTTGGCCCACCTGAAGATGCGTGGACTTCAACTTCCAGAATTCCCCAGCTCAGCTTAGGGGAAGAGCCAGGTGTTCATAGTCCTCTGGAAGGCTAACAGGGTAAGATCTCAGATGGAAATATCTCCTAAGAGCAGCAATTCGGTTAAATTAAAAAAAATATATAACCTATGAACTGATCAAGGAGCACTGATATACCATCTTAGTAAACAGCAGGTCTCAGTGTAATGCCATAATTTATTAAAAGAATGTATAGTTCTATAATAAGATCTCCACACCTTGTATAATCTCTGTTCTTCTGGAGGCCTCTTGAGAATCCCCTCCACAATTCTTTTCAGCTCATACACTGTACTGGACTCCTTGGCGTCTGTGAAGATAGTTGCCTTGTGACGTCGGATCATTAGAAAGACATCCTGTTGGACAACAGACCGGTTCATAATATTAGGTGATCTGTAGCATTTGTAATTTATCCAAACAAGCCATCACTATCAATAATGATGATATTGTTTTATACATTGGGGAAACCTCAATTTTGTATGTAGGATAGGCAATTATTCTCCAAAATACAAAATACTTAAAACCTCAGTTTTATAGAACAATTGAGAATTATTTCCATGTGCTTGCTACATCCACTTTTATATAACCTACATAAAATGCAACTATACTGTTCAGATTGATTTGCCAAGCAACAGACAAGTCCACTGTTTGAATAAGCGGCCTAAATTCAGACATTGTTGTTGCTTCTGAGGTCTTCAAGGGGTCAGCCAATCGAGATTTGCTATGAACAGAAAAGCAGTAGTTAACAATTGTGTACTAAAATTAGCACTGCCATTAACAACCAGATTAACACCTCAGAATCTCGAAGTTGTAGTAGATGTAGTCCTCCTTCAGGTATTCCCAAGGATGAAGCCATCAAAGACCCTACTTTCACAATATACTACAATCCTATTTCTCATATTTGCCAATTAATAACCATGTGACTAGTTCTTATGGCCTACTTTAAGGCTCAGGTGAGTTTTTACAAATATAGGTAGACTCTTTATTAAACTGCATACAGAATATTACAACAGTTTTCTCCAGACTGAACCCAGTACCACAAATGACTTTGCCAAGGTTGCTCCTCTCTACATAGATATGGAGCTGGGCATATTAGCTAAAACCACAGAAGGCACTCCAGGTAACCAATGCTACCAGACCCTCCATAGATACCAGACAGAATACATAACATATTAGATCTTGATCGGTAAGTATGTTATCAATTATATTTTGTTAGACAAACCTTGGCTTAGTACAATTTGTGAATCTAACAAAAGATACCCTGACAGAGGAATGACAGATGCTAGATCTTCCAGATTGAATTAGTGAATTCGGGCTTCCTCAGTGTGGTACTCTTCAGATGTGTTGGCTGACAACACCCATCATTCACAGCCAGTAGGAATAACAACAAAATGGTAGGCACTGTAGTCCAGTATATCTAGATGGTACTAATTTGGAAAAGCTCTGGTAAAGTAATAGTTCAGTTTTCATCAGTGGTGGGATTCAAATAATTTAACAACCGGTTCTCTCCCCTAATGACCATCTGGGTAGGTGGAGCTTGGTGGTCATGTGACTAGGTGGGCGTGGCCAACTCAAGGTCACTCACGTCGATGGGCGTTTCGCCTTAACTGTTACAATGTAATAAGGGTTAACCGGAGAGGCAGTTTCTGTAAGCAGGGCAATAAAGATTAGACTAGAAACAACACTAGAATGTTTCCTTCATGCCTTCCTTACAGGATTAGCCCTGCAAAGTGGAAAAAAACAAAAGGAGATTTCTTCCAACAAGTAGTTCCCTGAACTACTTAGAAAGTTACCAACCAGTTCTCCCGAATAGGTGCGAACTGGCTGAATCCCACCACTAGTTTTCATATATAACACAAACCTGTATTAACAACTCTTCACATTTGCAAGATTCCCCAAACTATTATTTTATGTTTTTGGTCCTATTTCAGAAGTTATCCAACGTTCTTTTAGTTTGGTAAAAATCTGTTAGTTTAGATACTTGCCCATTTAGAATGCAAAATCTTGGCAACTTAACTTCTTTCCATCATAAAGGGTAACCTTTCATAGCTAATGTTTAAATCACCCTATTATACAGAAACCAAGTCTTTGATTCACCCCTGAGGTTTAGATGTTGAACGTGGACTGGAGAGAGTCAGATTCAATCCATCTTAAGCCAGGAAAGTGGTGTAGTTGATTTTGGTTTGTAAATATCTCTCAATTGATCTTATTCCACAGGCTTGTTGTAGGAGGAAAACCAGGTAGGATGTAGAGATGTGATGTAGAGAGCCACTTTAGTTTAATAGTTAGAAAGCATGAATTCTACTACCACCTTAGGCATGAAGGCCAGATGGGCAACTTTGGGCCAATCACTTTTAGTCTAACTCACAAATTGTTGGAAGAAAATAGGAAGATAAAGAAGTATGAGATACATTAGCTGCCATGAGTTATTTATAAAAATAATAAAGGAAAAAATTAATATAGTGAGGATAGGCAGGTTACAGATTGAATCAAATACAAGATCATGACATTAGGGTTTATGAACCAGGTAGGCCATGACAGAGCCCAAGTTCAAATTCCTCCTCAGACAGAATATTCATAGATAACTTATATATATATATATGAGACCCACCTAAAGTTATCTATGAATATCCTGTCTGAGGAGGAATTTGAACTTGGGCTGTCATGGCCTACCTGGAATATATATATAAAGACTGAAATTGAATTTTTATTTCTGTTCAATTGTGTTGGATTCTTAGAAACTGGACAAATTCCTGCAATTTAAATCCCTGCAATTTTCTTGGCAGTTTTTTCCAGAAATGGCTTGCCATTGCCCCTTTCCTAGGGCTGAGAGAATGATCAGCCCAAGGTCATCCAATTGGCTTAGTGACCAAGGTGGGACTGGAATACAGTCTCCCTGTTTCTAGTCTGATGCCTTAAGATCACACCACATTGGGTCTTGCAAGAAAATACTCTTTTAATAGCTTCCTCTTGAGTTGATAAGAAGCAGTAATAGTGCTTTGACCATTTCAGGGTAGCATTGAACCCATCACTTGTCATTTTAAATATGTTTATTTACATTTTACCCAATGCCAGGGGCCAGGTCACCAAGGGTTAATGGGAGTTGAAGTCCAAAGCTTCTGGAAAGCACCTTAAAGGAAGAATAAGGTAACAAATTCTTAGTCCAAAACTAAGAATTTGGCCAAGTTCAATGGTTAGAGGCGACTTCCAGTTTCATGTAGCCTTTTCATAGTGTGCCCTAGAGAGTAAAAGTACCTAGAAGTTTAGAATTGTTATGTTTGCAACCTTTGTAAGAACCAATTTGGTGTAATAGGTAGTTTGGTATACTGGGCATTTTTACCCAGAAACAGGAAAGCTTTTTGCACATTCAAAGACTTAAAAAAAAAACTTTATTACTCCCCCCCCCCCCATACATACAAAGCAGCCTGGATGCCAAAAGCATCCAGAAGCTCCCTTAAACTTCCTTGGAGATCCAAGCCTTCCAAGATAAACTTATCTAAGTCTTTCTAACCGAGGTCTTTTCTGGGTGCCTTTTTAAAAAGACATCAACGCTTTACCAAATAAATACTAGAGGAGTTGCGAGGGCGGCGTCTTGGAAGCCCCAAGATGGGAGCGTCAGACGGCTCAGCGCCACCCACAAGAACCAGGAAAAGCCTCTCCTTTGTCGAGTAAAAAATTCGGGCTGCCTTCTCTGCCCCATAACCCTTCTCGGAGCCTACCTGGCAGGGCTGTTGGGACGATAAAGCGGGGACTGGGGGGGGCGAGGGCGGACCCAGAGGAAACCCGATTATAAGACCATCCCGGGGGGGGGGACCCCCAAAAGGGAGTATACTAAACAGGAAGCCGCCTCCTTTCGGGGCGTCGGGAAAGGCGCTGCGCTGGGGAGCACGGATCGCGTCCGCACAAAATGGAGCCGAGGAAGAGATGGAGGGACGATGACGACGAGCATCCCACGGAAGGGCAGGGGTCACTCACACACACCGAGAAAGAAAGGGAAGGGAGCGAGGACGGTGATTCCAGAAGGGTCGCAGTCGTTCTTACGTTCCCACTGCTACTATTTCGGGCCCGCTCCCACAGGCAGCTACCATCCCCGACTCACCATCTCTGCAGATGCAGCCTCAGCCCAGACCCCCCAGAGAGGAAAAAGCAGCAAAACCCCCGGTTTCCCAACATGCACTGCAGTCGGTATATAACCCAACCCGGTGTGGGGGGGGGGGAGAGAGAGAGAGAGAGAGGGAGAACACCGTGGCGCATGCGCCTCATCCCAGGTTCGCCTTACGGAGAAAAAAAAAAAAGGACCATAGAAGTGCTCGCGGAAGCAGCCGCCGGAAGGACGGGTCGACTGAACGGAAGCGCTTGCTGGCCATTTTAAAAGAGGCACCTTTGAAGCTTCGCCCAGTTTGGAAAAGTCGTGGCGGCTAAAGCGCCGCCATCTTCCCAAGGGCTTTCTTTCGGGAGTCACTACTCTCTATGGTTGCTTCCGTTAAAGTGCGGAAGTTAAAGTTTGTCGTCGCCTGGGTTTTTTTATTTTTAGGAACTTTAATTTTTTTAAATATATACGCTTAACGAATCTTGGCGAGAATTCCTTTCCTCATAAAGTAGGAGCTGTCTTAAAGAGATGATTTCCGTTTTACGCCTCTCCGAGCTAAAAGTGGTTCAAAAGTCAAGCGCTGGGCTCCTTATATGTAACTACGTAGGAAGGCGGCTGCCATTTTGAGAAGGGCATTTGTGGCTTGTAGAGAAGGACTCCATTTTGTAACATGGAGTTTCATGAGGCTGGGCTGCATACTCAGGATTTTGGCCTTTTCAGTGCTTTGCAGCAGCCAACCTCGAATCCAGTGCGAGAAAACTAAACCACACCCCCATCATTTCCTCAGTTGTGTTGTATTACAAACCATTGAATTATTAGGATTTTTTTTAAAAAAAGAATTGGAAGTACCTAAAATAGGGGTCCTTAAACCTTGTTATTACACCTCCCTTAAATGTAATCTTAATGTATATGCCTCTCCCAAAAATTCAAACACTAAAATGAACCTGTGGGAAGCCCCCTCTCCCAGAAGAATGAAATATTTTGAGTAATATTAAAAAGGCAAAATATTATATTTCCCTAAAGGAGAAATATGCTCTTAAAGAGGGAAAGCGGTCTTTCTTAATTTCTCCCAGCAGATATTTTGCACCCATTAAGTGTAGGAAGTTAGCTCCCACCCTTCTAGAAAAATGAAATATTTTAGGAAATATTAAAAGCAGAACATTATATTTCCCTGGATAAGATATGTTTTAAAGACAAAGCAGCTCTCTGCAGCTTCCTGCTCCCCCCTTCAATGGGCCATTAAGGATTGAGCCACTCTATTCTACATAACAAAGATCTACCTACTTCAGGCAGAGCCATAATAGGAATCCCAAAACCCTTTCATTACATCATTACTCAGCAACAGCTCAACCAAGTTTGGGATTCAAAAAACAGACAGTTTATGGACCCTGCCCCCAGGAGTCTGACCACCAATCAGAGTGCATTTCTCGTACCGGAACAGGAAGCTCTGGGATGGGGCCCAAAGAGGGCATAAAACCAGGGCACTCTCAGCATCTCTTCCCTTTTCCCCTAGGACCTCAAACCATGTGGTCCTGTCCACCATATTAAAAACCATATTTCTCAGCAGCCATCGTGTTTCCTGTGTCTTTCTCTACCCTAAGAACTGAACCCAGATGGACATTTCTTCCAACATAAGAAAGATTGGGCCAGCCTATTCAGAAACAAAAGACCTTCACCTCCAGTGATGGCCTTAAAAATTTACATTCTCCTCCACCCAAATTCTAAGAGCAGGACATGACCATTTAGGACATAATGAGATTAACCCACTACCATTTAGCAGAAGATACAGAGCTCACCACATTGCCCAATTTCCTAAGGGCATTTCAGACATTGCACAACCACCTCCCAGCAGCATTTCAGGATCTGTATAAAAATACTGACACTCATCTGGCTGCTCCAGAACCACAAACCCTGGTGGTTCTGTTTACCAGTAAACATAATCTTTCTTTCCAATCAGCCTCTTAGGTTATTTCCAGCCTCTTTTTCCCAGGTTGGAACTGAATTAGCTGGATTTCCTTTCCAACAAACCCAAAAGAACAATGAAAACACAATAATTAAACTTTTTAAAAGGTGGATTTATTGCAAATATGCAGCCAAAAGATTCTTCACACCTTCTTTGGACTCATATGCACTTTCCAAGGGAGGTATGCTTTACAGTTTGACACAATGCCATCTTGGGGTGGACTGCCACATCTAAGTTATCATAACATTTTCTTTGCTGAAGAAAAAGCTGCATTTCTATGTGTATCTAATACATTCCCAGTCTGTAATTATAATGCACTAATGGTTTTGGTTTTTTTTTTTTTTTTACTACCAGGCCATAATGCAAATTGGACCTTGTCATTTAACCCCTTTTGTGGGTGTTCCAGCTTTCATGGTGGGTGGTAAGGGTTTTGTCTGATACTGAAGCACTTTCCTTTTTTTAATTTAACTGACTTGTCTAGTTTATAAATCACCATTACTGTGGAACCGGTGGGCGGTTAGAAAATTTTACTACTAACAGAGATACGAAAGTGGGCGGTAGGTATAAAAAGGTTGACTACCCCTGCTGTAGAGATTCAAAAGTTTGGTTTCCTCATTTTCTGAGTAGCTCAGCAAGGTGAAGAAAGGACTTGAAAGTCCCCCCCCCCCCCCCTTAGGTAGGTTTTCCAACAGAAAAATATTGTCATCTTCCCACAGTCAAATGTGATATAATTCATGCTATCCAATAGATCTTGTTGAACTTCACTGAAATAGAACATCAATAGAGATACTTGGACATTTGTCATCATCTTCAACTCTGTAGACAGTGATCAGTTTATGCTAAATCATAAACATTGTGTACAAAACACAATTGTTTGGATTCATAACATGTGCTAAGCAAAGCCCAAGCTTCACCATGCACCAATAGATTATATGGCCCCAGTTGATATTGATAATGAAAAATACCATAAACATTGTACAAAATACAATTGTTTACACTCACATCGTGGTAAGTAAAACTCAAGCTACTAATAGGTTGTATGGGGCTCTTAATAATGGAAAAGTATATTGGACTGCCTAGAATTTCATGGAAGCTAGGTAAGGTTCAAATATTTTAAACAATTTTAAAACCCAGACCTAGATGGGCTACAATGAAAACAGTAACAAATTCTTACATTTATATATTTTACCACCAGATGGCAGAATATACCATAGTGTCTTTGATCTTATTTGATAAATGAGATTTTCATCATTTCCCTCTCTTCCCTACCAAATTGGTCAGTATTTCTAGTACTTTACTCTCATGGCACAGATGAAACACTGCTTTTCTTCAGCCTGTAGTGAACTTAAGCTACTACATTGTGATAAAAATTTTGTTTCCCTAAAAGAATCTGACATAATCAATCCCTTGATCAACAGCTTGCTGAAAATGAAAGTAGATTCATAGTGTTGCTGGTACAGATTTCATGTCCGGAGTGATTGAGGGTCTGTATTTCATAGGAAGAGTGGTGCAAAAATCAGCAAAAGAAGAGTCACCCTGGGGAAGTTTGAAAGTCCACCATTATTTGCATTTATTTTGCTTTGGATCCAGTCTAGGTAGAAAGGCACTGATGTATAGACGCCAATTTGGTTGCGTTGAGCACAGCCTTCCCCCCAACTCACTACCCCAGCCAGTGTCCAGGCCCCATTGGATTTGCAAACTAAGGGTCCTCCGGAATCGCCCTGTGGAGAAAAAAGAGAACAAAGGACGTAACTACATGAAAAGAAATATTCAGTGGAATAGGAATGAGGTTATTCAGAACACCTATTTCAATATAAGACTCATGATTTTTACCCCTTGGTTTCCTCTAGACTGCAACAGTGCAATAAAATTTGCATGCAGAAAGACCTAGATCGAATCCCTTCAATATCTGCATCAGATTAGGGGTTAGGCTCCCAATTTCTAAAGAAAGAAGTAAATCTGCCTTTTGGGTTTGCTTCAGGACTGGCATAGAAATTTCTTCCAGTTACTGGATGTGCTGGGGGATCTCTTTAGAAATAATGCAGAGTGATGCCTCTCAATGAGATACATAGCATTGATGCTGCACCTCAATGAAGGCAATCACGTTGTTTGTGTGGTGTTAAAGCACCTTTAGGCAAAATATGGCAATGTTTCCCAGGCTTAATGTTCATATCAAGGCTCTTGTTCATATCAGAAGTGCACTGGGGTAACACATGAGTAAACCTTAGCTAAAGCCAAGCAAGTGACACACTGCGTGACCCGTCAAAACCGTGCTCGACTAAGCCGCGCCCGATTAAACCGCGTCGCTGACGTCATCAACAGGGCGACAACAGCCAGTGCGGAGAAAGAAGGGCGCTTTAAATAGCGCTTTGAAAGCAAGCCGATTCAACTTAAGGTAAGGGTTAGGGTTAGGGTTAGGTTTAGGGTTAGGTTAAGGGTTAGGGTTAGGTTTAGGGTTAGGTTAAGGGTTAGGGTTAGGTTTAGGGTTAGGTTAAGGGTTAGGGTTAGGTTTAGGGTTAGGTTTAGGATTAGGTTTAGGGGGGTTAGGTTTAGGTGTTAATTTTAGGTTTAGGGTTTACAGCGTGCTTCTGTCTCCGCGCTGTTGTCGCCCTGCTGATGACGTCAGCTACGCGGTTTAGTCGGACGCGGTTTAGTCAAGCGCGGTTTTGTGGTGGAACCGACACACTGGGCCATGTGTAAAGAAAGGGAATTAAATGGCATTATTCTGAGAGTTTCTCCAACTCTATCCACTTCATATGGACCTAAACCATGGAAAGAGCTGCTGTGCAAAACACCATGACATTTTCAAGTGTTTTTTTTTTTTTTTAGTTGCGGGTAGTCCTTGAAATTACAGTGGCAATTAGGACTGGAATTACTGTATGTTTGTAAAATGCGATATCACAGGACCGAATCATTTAGTGATAGTAATCCAAGCAGTAACAGTTACTGACGTAACCCCAAGACATGCAGGTTAAGTGAAAAGTGGTGGGAGACCTATAAAGAACAATGGGAGGTAATGCCATGGGGGTGAGTGGGGGGTGAATAAGACTGGAAAAGGCCCTCAGAAGGCTGGCAGTACCCGCATGTGAGTTGTGGAAGAGACTTGGAGATCTGCTGATTGTGCGGGAAGACTGGAGATGGATAGCACTGTGGGTGCCAATGCAGGAAGTCTTAGGGGACTTAACAAAGAGGCTTGCCATCTTCCCTGTGAAGGGAAGTTGCCAAAAAACTACCCATGAAGACAGGATATAGCTTAATTTGAAGAATCTGAAGAATTTTTACTCACTTGAAACAAATCATGTTCTTTCTGTCCTAATTTCGCTGATGGTAGCTTACCAGTTTTCATTTTAAAATATTTTTTAAAAAACAACTATTTATCAACTTTGCTGATGGGAAATACCCTGTAAGATGATTACCTATATATATCATTGAAAGAGAACTTCAATTTCCTTAAAACTAGCAAGTTTTCTTCATTTGAAAAATATATATATATGGAAAGAATTAGAGCAAAAATTTATATTCCACTGAGAAGGAAGTCCCAATGGATTTATTGACATTTACTATTTGTGGAATATTGCAATTTATAGGCATTTATTATATCTGGCAGATTTGTTTTTGTTCTCAGTGAAATTCCTGAGAACTGATTCATTAATGATTCCTCTTCCTGATTAGATTAGTAAACCCCATTGAAGAGGGCAAAGAGCATGGGTAAGTACATATAAAAACTTGATATCAATCAGCAATTTGATTTTTGATTTTATTAAACTTGTATGCCGCCCTATTCCCCGAGGGGACTCAGGGCGGCTAACAAACCAAATAGGGGAAGGGGGAATACAAAAGACAAAGAAGACAAAACAAATACAAAAACAAATTAAAAACACATCAACAGCCACAACCATTCGAGTGGGGTTGGGAACTCATCAGCCCCAGGCCTGCCGGAACAGCCAGGTTTTAACGGCTTTGCGGAAAGCCTGAAGGGTGGTGAGGGTCCGAATCTCCACGGGGAGATCGTTCCAGAGGGCCGGAGCAGCCACAGAGAAGGCTCTCCCCCGGGGGGGGGGGGTCGACAGTCAACACTGGCTAGTTGATGGAATCCGGAAGAGGCCTAATCTGTGGGATCTAATTGGTCGTAGGGAGGTGATTGGCAGAATTGATCTCCATTGTGCAGGAAGTGACCATGTGCATTTTCTGAATGTCAGTGGACTACACTTTTCATCTGTGTAAACCTTTAGAAGTCCACCCTCTGTTTACAGATGCTGTAAAAATATAATTGAAAAGTCTCAGCTTGTTTTGTAAAAGTACATCTCAAAAAGCAGCCATAAATTCCAAAGTCTGATAGTAAAAACGAATATTAAAATATTCACTTATGTAATAATTTCCCCATCTTCCCTCAACCTTGTTGCCAAAGTTGATTGGGAGGTGGAGCGCGTCAGAAATAATACATATTGCTGTTCTTCAATTATGATGGGAATCTCTTGGCAAATACACATAGACAGCATGTTAAGCAGAACTGTGAATTTAAATCCTCCCAAATGCTTTGGAACATGAAGGCCATGGACCTGGCCCATGTCTGCAATTTCTTAAAGTAGCTGTGTGAAGTGATGCAGTTGCTTTAAGAACAACTGCAGACCAAAACTACTTTCATCCTGTCTTCCTTGTGCAATAGCCCAGACAAGATGAATACCCAGAGATGCTACCTCCAGGGGTGGGATTCTACTGGTCCGGACTGGTCTGGGCAAACCAGTAGCTCCGACTATCAGCTGGGAGTGGACTGGTTCGCTCTAACTTTTAGCTGGGCCCGCCCCCGTGCTATACTCACCTACTTCCCTTGTTTTGAAGCCCAGCTGATAGGCGCCTCAGCTGTTTTCCTGTGAAGTGTGCATGCACGTTCTCAGTGCACAATCACTTGTTAAAGCGGTAGGATCCCACCCCTGGCTACCTCTATTTTTATTGTATGGTTACATTAACATTCTTTCAAATCTGAAAGTACATCTCCTCTCCATGGTCCCTTCAGAGACACGTCATGCCCCATTCATTCAGAGGCCTCAGCTGTCTCTTATCTGATTATTACCTAGTTCAGGTGTGTCAAACATGTGTCGTCACAGCAGCATCATGTGACATATCAGGACTTTTCTCCCCTTCGCTAAACCGGGCCAGCGCCTGATGCATCTGGCCCATGGGCCATGAGTTTGATAGCACTGGCCTAGTCTGTGGTTGTTCTTTCTGTCTCCTACATAAAATCACACTCCTACTGTGCTCTGAAGTCACTCTTGGCGTTGAGTTACAAGATCCTAATACTCCTAATACTTAAGCTTTTATAATAGTTTCCTAATTTCCTAATAATAAAACTTTTATTCTGACTGAATGTGGTTATGGCTTTGTATATTATGCTGATCCAGTTCCCTTGATGGTATGATTCAGTGTACTGGAAAAAAAAGATGATTTCTAAAGATATTTTTTGATTACAGCAGGAAGGCGTACTCGGAAATTAACACAAGTCCATTTAATAAAGCTTTTTTCTAGGCATTTGAAATTGAATGACTGACTGCCTGGAAACTTACAGGATTATTTGAGTATGATCCCCCCCCCTTTTTTTAAACTGGTTGGAACCCTTTTTTTTCTTGCCCTTCCAGAGGGAAAAGAGAACTGATCATTGGGGGATGGCTTCTCTGAGATAGGGAAGACAGACTCCATGACTGATTATGTCCATACCAGGACCTCATACGTTCCCTCAGGTTGAGGGTCACAGAAAGATTTCAAGGACCACTCTTGAAAAGTGTTTTAGGCTAAGCCCATTTTTGTTTTTCAAGATTGAAGCCATCCATTTTGTCCCAAGGCACCTGCTCCCTATAACCCCTCCTCCCCTCAACTTCCTACTCAAAAAGAAGGAGATCCTGATGGATCATATTACTCATATTACTTAATCATCACTTCGATTGTGATCATCTCTCTCTCTTCATGTTCAGGAAGATCCACACTCAAGAATAGATCACCAGTGGTGCCAAAAGGTAGTTCCTACCAGTTTCGAACGGTTTGGCCGAGTGGGTAATAACTTGGCTGCCCATGCCCCCAAACCGGTTTAACAAATGCCTGACACATTTAACTCCTTCCTAGGACAGTGAAGATACCTATAGAACTTTCTTTTAATTGCTCAATATTTATCTTTGCATATCATTTTGACTCTGTAAAGAATAGGTTTTAGAACATCCTACCTGGCAGGCATCCTTTCCACCTTCTTTGTACCCTGCACAGAACATATCAGCCTTGACAAGATCAGTTTGTAACTGATATCCTTTGCTTTCATTATAGAGATCATTGCAAGTCTTGCGATCTACGATTGGTACCTCCAGTTCCTGAAGGATTTGGGGTGATGGCAAGTTTCCTGTAGAAGAGAAAAATGAGACAATTTTCATTCCCAGAATGCAAAGGCGACAGATTAATGCACTATATAGACCTCCAGATGTTGCTAAACCACAACTCCTAGCAGTTCCAACCAGGAAGATGAGTGATGAAAGATTCTGGGAATTCTAATGTATTTTAGCAATATCTGGGCAGGTTTATAATGTGTACTTATGCTGTATAATGCAACTTGTCACTTGTGTAATCTTGTTTCTTATTTTTATATTGTTGGGAGTCATGAAAAATGGCACTCCCCGGATTTTTAAACAGCTGTATTTAAAAAAAGACTTCCATTAGTTTGCCCTCAATGATATCTCAAAGTATTTTTTTCCTGATCTTCCCAAACTAGTACTCTAACCATTTTCAGGTCAGTGCAAGCAATTCACCTGTATTTTTCCACCTACCTACCTACCTACCTTTCTATGTGTGCGTGTGTGCACGCGCACGCACACACGCACACATACACACATGAAACTTGAAAAATTAGAATAATGTGCAAAAGTTCATTTATTTCAGTAATGCAACTTAAAAGGTGAAACTAATATATGAGATAGACTCATTACATGCAAAGCAAGATAGTTCAAGCCATGATTTCTCATAATTGCTATGAGCTGTAAGCCATAATCATCACAATTATGACAAATCACGGCTTGAACTA